TGATTGATTACATAAGAATATTCGGTATGTGTCACCATCAAGAAAAATAATCAAAATTTGAAACATGGACTTATCCCTCAATTAGTTTTTCATGATGGAAGTGGCTAGCCGTACGGGCCCGTACGGCTAGCCAAAAGTGCTAGCCGTACGTGAGTCACGTACGACTAGCCAGGACACACTGTATTGGCTAGCCGTACGGCACTTTTCAAAAATATATGGAAGGCGAAAGTGCATATGTTAATTATGACTTAAAGCGAGGATTTTAGTCAAGAATGTTTACTTTTTAGAGATTAATCGACGTGTTGGCTACAGTAAAGAATGTACGTATTTTGTCATCACAAGACGTCGAGAAAAAATAGCGTTTGGTTGCAGTTAAATAACATCAATTGAAATAGTTTACAAATTTTTGATAATAATCATTTTTTTTGTTTCATTAAGTTTAATTTTTAAATTGAAAAAAAAAAACACCGAAAATAATTGTTGTCGGGCTCTGATAATTGCGTCAAATACCGACGGTATAGAAGTTTGTCCATCGTCCATCATTAAGGAAAGTTTGCATTATTAAATTATTTTTCCTTTTCACCGTTTTTTTTTTTTTTAATATTCTTTTTATTTATTTATTTATTCCCCTTCGATCATTATTTATTCGATCCATGACACTTAATTTTATTAAGATAGATTATACAACGCTTACTCGTATTCATTTTTTTGTGCAAAATTGCAGAGCATCTTTATTAAAGTGAACACTCTAGGACAAAAGCGGATATTTGATTAAAATTGTTGTTTAAACATATGCATTTTCGACTTCCATATAATTTTGAAAAGTGCCGTACGGCTAGCCAATACAGTGTGTCCAGGCTAGTCGTACGTGACTCACGTACGGCTAGAACTTTTGGCTAGCCGTACGGGCCCGTACGGCTAGCCACTTCCTTTCATGATTGTCTCCCCTGTGTTGTTTATACGGTACCACTAAAATACGCAACGGAGATTTTTTGGCGCAACGGACGCAACGGGCGCAACGAAGTTCAAAATTTAAAATGTGGCAATAAAATACGATTAGCAATGCATTTTTTATATTCATATTAGTATGTGCTTAATAGAATAATATTTTGAATTTATAGAAATCATCTAAAAACAATATTTTCTATATAATAAGCATTGTATTATTGTAATACCGCTCAAAACTCCGTTGCGCAAAAATTCATTGGCGCAACGGAGATTTATTTTTTTTTAAACTAGCAAACAAAGTACTTTTAATTGAATTTGCATTAGTATATACTAAATAAAGTCCTATGTTGATATTACAGAATCAATGTTAAGTATTTTTTTATTATAAACATTCATTGTATTGTTGTTATACCTTTCATAAACTCCGTTGCGCCGATGGATTATTGCGAAACGGAGATTTTATTTTCAAAACTGTGTATACTGTTTTTATGTCTAAAACATGAAATAATTATATAAGTTGGTATTGTTGATATCTATACATATTTTTTACATATACTGTATAAGTTTGATTTTATTAGGTAGAATACTGGATATATCAGATTCTAAATGGACGGCGAAATGGACATAATTTCGGCGCAACGGAAAATAAAGATTTGCATAACGGGTAGATCTTATATTTGAACATAACATAAGAATTTGAGAATAATAAGCAACAGTCTTTTAAAAATGATTTACTTTCCTTTATTTTAGAAAATGTTGAAAATAGGATATTGTAAAAGATATTTAAAATTACGGCGAAATGGGTCCACACATTTCGGCGCAACGGGGATTATCATAACAGTTTTATCATATTATATTATTTTATCAATTTATTATCTATCATTAATCATTGTGTACTTTTTCAATAACAGTTCGTTGCGTATACATTGTATATTTCATCAAAAGCAATCCAAATATTTCATAATTATGATATTGACAAAAGGTAATCAATTACGCGAGAATTGTTAGCAATTAGCAACGTATCGTGCACGTGTATGGCACAGGTGTTTAATGTTTTTAACACTTGTAATAGAAAACTTGACCGTCATCAGTGGCGGATTCAGGCTCCAAAATGTTTTATTACGTCTCACATTTCATATACACATTTTTTTCTCATAGTTTGAGTGAAATATTGGCATAATAAGCTTCAAAAGCAATATTTTCGACAATAACAAGTTATAAAAAAATATTTAATATCTTAAAATCAATACATGTTTCTCTTAATCACATTATCTAAATGGTGTGAAAACGCGTACGTGTCCAATAAACATCAACCACGTGTCATTGGTAATTTAATTATCGGTACTTAACACCCGTGATAAACATTCTGCCAATCACCAAATTGCTGTTGTTTCGCTAAATAAACAGTAGCTGCATTTGATTTTAACGGGGTTTTCTGATTGGGGAAGGAATTGTTATAAGTAATGTTCAATTTAATTATTTAATGTGTTTTACTGTTTTAAAATGGAAATAGAAAGATCAGCAAATTCTACATGCATGTCGTTTTACTATTTGTAATACAAATCTTTTGAATAAAGATATGACTTTGTTTTCTTAAGTGTTACAATCATGTCATTGATTAAAGTCATTACAATATTTAACGTAAATATAACGTAATACACGGGCACGGGAAAAAAAGAAAAAGATTTAAAGACTCATGTTTATCTTCGAATATCAGCCATGACGGAAATAAACGTATTTATTTGTGTAGCAATAAAGCCATTAAGCAGCGTTTTATTGAAATTTGGTTGTGGTAATTTATTGTTAAGATTACATTAGAAAGTCCACAGCGTATGCATTACGGACTTTTCGTATTCTTCAAGTAAAATTCTGAAAATTATGCATAGAAAATTAAGCTATTACAGTACTTTTCGTAAAAATAACGAATTGAACGGGGAAAAAATGAAACAGATTGTAAAATCCATACTTGTCTTCCAGTGTCAGCCATTACGATAAAAACGTATTTAATTCCATTTTTAAATTAATAAAACAGACTTTTATTACACCACTTCAGTAATTCAGTTAATATCGTTAATGATTCACTTCTTCATATTACTACTTAATTAGGACAAACATTGTTTTCTCTTTAAATTCCGTTGCGCCGAAAAAAAAAATCTCCGTTGCGAATACAAAATGTCCATTTCGCCGGCACACAATCCTTTACAACATCAACATTGCAGCTATTTGATATACGATTAAGGTTTCTTGGTCTTTTTTAAAATTAATTTATTAAATAACATTGGTGTTAATTAATTTCATATATTAGTACATATATACGTTGTGCCGATTTTCCAAAATTATCTCCGTTGCGCCGTGAAATTCCATTTCGCCAGGCATATATAATCCTTCAGTGTAATTAAACATATACAATTTATGAAACATTTTAAAACAAACTTACTTAATAATGCTAAACAATAATTTTAGATGCTTAAATATAGCACATTGACTTTAAAAAAGGCGTTGTGTCGTTGTTGGTTTTTTTTAAATATCTCCGTTGCGCCATGAAATTTCCATTTCGCCAGGCATATAACTCTTCAGTGCAATTAAACGTGTACAATTTATGAAACATTTTAAAACATAATTACTTAATAATGCTAATCAATCATTTTAGATGCTTAAATATAGCACATTGACTTAAAAAAAGGCGTTGTGCCGGTTTTTCTAAAAAAAATATCTCCGTTGCGCCCGTTGCGTCCGTTGCGCCAAAAAATCTCCGTTGCGTATTTTAGTGGTACCCTTGTTTATATGCAATTATTAAAATTTTAAAAATGGTCAACATAAATTTACCTCCAAATCTGACTGAAGAGGAAGAAATTCTTCGACAGAAATATGCAAGACTACGTAAAAAGGTATGATTGACAATACAGTAAAGATATAAGCACTTATTGTATTGTTTTGAAGTAGATCCACCTATTTTATTTTTAAAGTGTTAACAGTTTAAAGTGAAAGTAGAACTACATGACTGTAGAAGTCAACTAAGATTGTTTATGAAAACAAAAGGTCTGAGAGAGTCTTATGACATTTCAAATGGCTTAATGTTGTCTTATTTCACCAACAACTATGGACTTAAAGCTACTATGGCTATGCTATTAATCAATCAATCAATATATATTGACATGGAGCTACATGTATATTAGATATATATATGTGATATTGACATGCCAAAATTAAGGGTTTGCCTAAAATACGAAAGTGAGATTTTTGACGAAAGTGAGCGAAAGTAAGTGAAAGTGACTTTTAGAATTTGAATTGTACTGTTTTAATAGAATTTTACAGTAAAATTGCTGTTTGTATACTTATATCATTGACCTTTTCGAAAACCTAGCTAAACACCGTTTTCGGGTACGTTACCGTTTTAGCTCTTTGGAATTACACCACTATAAATGAAATACATAACACAGTTACGATATATGTCTATTTTTTTATCATTATTTAACTGTTTAAGGTGAAAACAATTGATGTTTTTGAAAATTATCAATATTCTTTTAATATCTATTTCAAATTATTCAAAAAAATAAATTGTTTATAATGAAAATCAATAAAATTCAAACCGACATAGTGGAATCTTCTATAATAAATAAGGTTATTTTCTGCGTAAATTTGTGTATTTACTTTATTTTTTGTATGGAATTATTCATACAATGATATTTAATTATTTTCTTATAAAGAAATTTCAGTTTAAAAATTAAAAAAAAGGCCGAAAACATTGAGTTCGCTTTATAGTTACACTCCATTAGGTGAATTCCCCAGAGCTAAGTACAGAAAGTACCGGAAAACGCCGTTAAGCTAGGTTTTCGAATTCGTGAATTAGCAACTAATTATATGTATTATAATAAATAACCATAATCATAATTTAATTGCCATTTATTGGCCTAATTTCTATTTACAAGTTCAGCAATTTTCCTTTCACTTGCATATAAAAATACGAAAGTGACTTGTAAAGTATTAAATATAGAGTTTAAATTGAAATGTACTATATCTGCAGTTTGTAGACGTGTATTATAAGAAATATGAAAAATACGAAAGTGACTTGTAAAATATCAAATATAGAGTTTGATTTGAAAAATGTACTTAAATTGCAGTTTGTAAACATATAATATCAGAAATTAATAATTTGATATTCAAGTAATTTTCGTATTTTCGTATTTTTCAAAGTGAGCGAAAGGAAGATCTCAAAACTTGTGTATAGAAATTATGCAAATAAATGGCATTAATTTGAATCATCATAGTGATTAATTTTGAAAAGAAATATTATTAGTTGCTAATAATATACATCTACAAACAGAAAATTCACTGTAAAATTCTATTAAAAACTGTACAATTCAAATTTTAAAAGTCACTTTCGTCAAAAATCTCACTTTCGTATTTTAGGCATACCGCAAAGTTTATTGAGTAGATCAAGTCATTCCCTTTGGCCTTAAGTCAGGACACCAGCAACTAACTTCATGCAGACTTAGTCTTTTACTTTAAACATGTCACGGTTCAGAACTGTTCGCTATTTAGGGGAGAAGATGTGTAAGCGGCCGGGTAGCTCAGTCGGTAGAGCTGCCGAGAGCCCCGGGTTCGAGTAACTGTCATGCTGCACATTTTTCTCACCCTGTGACAAACATAACCCGGACTGTAGAAATCATGCAAACTTGTTTTCTTAACTATGCATTGGATCTTCAATCATCTGCCATAATGCCCGGTGCCTTCTCAATGACGGGCATGTACGGAGGGGAAAAGTGAAGTTATATGGTAGGTCAGCGCTTTTTTCTAATATATTTACTACCTGTAAACAGAGGCCTTCACAATGCCATTAAACAGATAGGTTTTCTTTTTTCAGGAGCATAAAATAACCAATTGTGTGCTTGCATTAAATTTACTGTTGATTTTCCTTGAAAAAGTCTTTTTTTTTCTTTCTAAAGGGAAACCTTTCAAATAACTATTGTCTATAGTATAACAGAAAATATTGTTAATAGAAGCTATTGATTTCTTCATTATATGTGTTGCAGTTTGTACTACATGTAGTTACTGTAAATTCTGCAATTTTAGACATTCTAAAAATGTTGGGAAAAATGCCTGCGGGTTCACTGTTTTTGCCTTAGCTGACCGAACAAACCATGGCGCTTATCTGAAGTTGCTTGTTTCGTTACATGTTTTGTCCCAGGTTCAGCATATTTTTTTTCTAATCTTAATCTCCTACAGTCATTGTATAAGCATTGAATAAATATTGATATGTTTTTTTTTTAGTGAAGTTTTCTTGTGCTGACAGTGCTGCACATATAAATAAAATGATGACAGATATAACATAAATGTTTAATAAATATAGATACAAGTAAATATGCTACCAAAAAAACATTGTTCATTTGTTTGCCAACTTATTCTTTTTTATGCTAGTATAAAGCACCATTCAGTATAAGTGTTAGACTCTTTTTATGCCAGTTTAAAGCATCATCAGGTATTATAGTGTTGGTCTTCTTGATCAATGCCAGTATAAAGCACCCTAGAGTATTAGTGTAAAGTATTAAGCACCAATGAGTATTAGTGTAAAGTATAAAGCACCATTGAGTATTAATGTTAGTCTTTCTTATGCCAGTAAAAAACACCATTGAGTATTAGCACTAATTAAGTCTTTTTGATGCCAGTTTAAAGCACCATCGAGACTCAGCATTATAGCTCCAAGATTTACACATCATTTTTGTAAATGTTTACATTGACCATGAAAAATGTAAGGATCCCATTTAAATGTTGTTTAACTTTACTTTTTAGTGGTTAAGACCCAAGACTGCTAGCTTAAAACTTATTTAGTGGTAGGACCTGAGTTTAAAAAGTATCTTAACTCAAAACTGTCAAACCATTGAGAATTTAAATCATCCATCCATTATATCAACTAAAGCATGACAAGAACTATATACTGTTATCTTTTAAAAGGCCAAGAAATTCAATAGAAGTTATTTTCTTTACAGAAAAAGCAGTTGCAAGCATTGAAGACAGTCAAACCAGAGAGGGAACCAGTTAAAGAAAAGCCAGTGAAAAGACGTAATTCTTATTTCATTGCAGTTAACCTTTTGGTTGATTCTTTAAATGTTCTAAATTCCTTGATGGCAAATTTTATATATACTGTCAGTTAAATTCAGTACATATAAAGAAAAATAGTAAGATAGGTAGGGCTGTCATCAGTACACATAAAGAAAAAATAGTAAGATAGGTAGGGCTGTCATCAGTACACATAAAGAAAAAATAGTAAGATAGGTAGGGCTGTCATTGAGTATCTCGATATCGATATATCATCGATATTCATCATCTGATACAATATCGATACACACTTTCAAATATCGATACAAGCTAAAATTTATTTATGTCCATTAATAAATATATACCTCTCAATTTTGCCTAACAAGAGAAGCCACTTTTTCCAGTTTTCTAGGCTAACTTGAACTTTAAACTCTGTTTTCAAATGTCAGTGACAAAAGTAACAGAAACAAAAGAAGTCTCATACAACATATAAAAGCATGCATAAAACTATGATCCTAATTTAAAACACACTTTTAAATGTTTTTCATTGTATCTATTGTGAAAGTCGATATATCGATATATCCATATATCGTCGATATTTGTCTCTCGATATATCGATACAAAATTGTCCATCAATGACAGCCCTAAAGATAGGTACATAATTATGTATAATCATATATGCATAGGAGACTGTAATCACAAGTGCTTGTGCAACACAAACAAGTCAGATCAGCCCCAAGTCAGATCGGCCTCAAGTCAGATCGGCTCCAAGTCAGATCAGCCCCAAGTCAGATACGCCTCAAGTCAGATTGGCCTCAAGTCAGATCAACCCCAGGTCAGATCGGCCTCAAGACAAATCAGCCCCAAGTCAGATCAGCCCCCAAGTCAGATCTGCCCCAAGTCAGATCAGGCCCCAAGTCAAATTGGCCTCCAGTCCAATCTGCCCCAAGTCCGATCAGGCCCCAAGTCAAATTGGCCTCCAGTCCGATCTGCCCCAAGTCCGATCGGGCCCAAGTCAGATAAGCCCCAAGTCAGATCAGCCCCCAAGTCAGATCAGCCCACAAGTAAGTCATAGGAGACTTTAATCACTAGTGCCTAATGAGACAAAACTGAAGGTCTTGGAAATAGAACATGTAAAGAAATAAAGGCATAAACATGGATTAATTTAATCGAAAAGTTATTAAATGGATCAATGCTCTTTTATGTTAACCAGAATGGTAAAGATTGTGGACTTCAAACCACTTGTCCCTGATGTAGGTATGAATCCTGCCAGGGACTTTGGATTCTTTTATGTGAGGAAGCTATCTAGCTAGATTACAGAACGTTGATGGTTCTACTCATGCACAGAGAGGCACATGAGGTCTTCCTCAACTAGTTTAAGCTGGAAAATTACCATATGACCTCTACTATATTTGTATGTTGACATGACCTAAAACCCAACCAATCAGGATGCTTCAATTAATACTTGAAATAAAGTATATCATCATTATATGATTATTATGACAAATACATGACAATTTCCTTGTAGCACATTTAAAATCTTTGACGTTAAAACACAAGATGTAAGATATGCATTTTTAAATCGAATAGTTTAGCTACACACGGATAATTTTATATATACATGTATATTTACAGCACATGAGTCAGCAGAAGATGCTAAAGAACAGGCTAAAAAGCTGGTCATGTCTGGGGTAATTATGTTTCTTCTTTTATCTTTTCTTTATGCTAAATATAAAAGTTTTTCTAACCAAGATGTTGTAGTTCTTTAATCATTGTTTTGATACAAATACAGTACATATACCTTGAAATAACCTTGATATAAAGAGATAATCAAATATCTGTTTAAAATTTAATAAATCAAACATACATGTATGTGATCAGTTGAATATATTCATTCATTAATTCTTTATTCATTCATTCATTCATTCATTCATTCATTCATTTCTTTAATCAGGCTATTAAACTGAGTGACAAGAAAGAGAAGCAGGGATTTAAGAGATCTCGTTACCTTGAGAAGAAACTACAAGACCCAGAGAAATTACCTGCCACACCCGCCACTGTTGGCTTTCAGCCATTTGCTGCTTCACACCCGGATGACGAGGAGAGAGTCGAAAGAGAAGATAGGGTAAGTACTAGCGCATTTTAACCACTATTTATACTCCTCTTCAGTGTTTCCATCACAGAGCTCCGATAAGAACTTGACAATTAAATACATTTAATAGTTAATTAATCTTTAGATCATTATGGATTTGGGGCGTTAATACAGACCACTGTCAACACAGTAAATTGAATTTGTTACCAAAACTCAGAAATTACATAAACATAAGTACAATGTACTTCATTAGTTTATTATTGACAGGTTATGTGGTGTAGTATGATATGTTGTAAGTTTATATAACTTGAGAGGGGCAGACTTCAAACCACTTGCCCCTCACGGCTGTGGGTTTAATTCTCAACAGGGACTTTGAATTCTTTCATGTAAGGAAGCTATCCAGCTTAAGCTTATGGAACGTTGATGGTTCTACTCGGGTGACTGTTTGTGCCCGAAACAATGCATGGAAGGGCACCTAAGGTCTTCCTCCACCAGTAAAGCTGGAATTTTGCCATATAACCTATACTGTGTTGGTGTAAAACAATAAAATCCAAGATACTAGAAGAGGGTTATATAGCAAACAAACATTTATACATAGATATATAACCTGTGAAAAGTATGTATGATAAATGTTTTATACAGCATATTCTTTTATACAGCATATTCTTTTTCTATGATTTGTAAAGAAAATAGTTTGTATATTTGCCACAACTTTAAGCAGTTTAGTTTTGACAATGAAATAATACAAGATATAATTATTTAACTACAGGGACAAATGATACATGTATATTTACAGAGACCAAGTATATAATTATTAAGCTACAGGGACTTATATATTTACAGAGACCAAGGCACCAGCGTGTACGTGGGTTATATGATAATTTTGTTCGTAGTGAGAGACCGCCGGAACGTCCGGACAGAATTTCTGAAAGACCAGAGAGAGGTTTGTTTTGTTAACTCTTACCGTGTTGGATCTAAAAGTAATTAGTCTTTGTCTCCAGTATTATAAAAAATCAATCCAGCCTGACCATTCTATTTGGTACTGTTGGTAGCACAATATCTCTATTTTGATATTGAATACCCTAAAATACCTGAACAATTTCTCAAAAGATAAACAACTATTTAATTAGATTAACGATATTTTGAACTACCTATAAATCTTATAAACTAATTATAATTTTAGATTGAAAGAACCAGCAACTTAATACCACACAAGATTTTAAGACTTATAAAATTTGTTATAAAATTAAACATACTGGAAACAACTACAGAAAAAAAAATTCAACTAACATCTACATATTTAATCACAAAAAATTAAGGTTTAGTTCATTCACACTGAAACCAACTATGATTTCTCTACGGTATCTATAATCAACCTTAGATTTAGAAGTTAATATTACATTCATTTAAGGTGAATATAAACACTCCAACGTGCCATAAAATGGTCATTAACAAAGACAGGATCTGTGGTTAACCATTATATTTGAAACATTTTAAATGGACAATAACTTGGCATCTTGCCCAGAAAAACTAACTTATATGTCTATTTGTAACATACATCACATTTTGTAGCTGTTTTTTTAGTACTTCAGTAATCATGTATCATTGAAATATATCCTGATGAAGGTCTTGAAAGACCAAAACCGGTAGATCCTTGACTAAACCAGTTTACATAACATCCTGATGTTTGTCGTGTATTCTCTCCTTTGATTTACTTAAGAAATAACATCGGCCTGAGAGGTGTATATCGGCTATTTAACACCGGTTTGGAGTTTTGATGCGTAGGAATTGACCACAAAGGCCATAGGCCTGAGTGATTAATTTTCTCTTATCAAAACGACAAAACCGGTGTTAAATAGCTGATATACACCTCTCAGGCCGATGTTATTTCGTTTCTAACACGATGAAATAAGGAAGATCACTAATGTTACTTTTTTCAAGCGGAAATAACTTCCGGTGCCGATTTTCGTATAACGCTGTTCGATTTTCGCACCCAACTGTTGAGAATATATAGAGGATATTTGTTTTTTTCAGTGTAAGATCGAAAAATATTTCACCGAGTGAACACCAGATGCAATATTTTCCACGAGTGACGTAGCCACGAGTGAAAATATAATAGCTTGGGTTCACGAGTGAAATATTATTTGATCTTACATGTAAAACAAACAAATTTTCTGTTTATTTCATGATTTTTTAACGATCTTTACACCATATTACTGATTTTTGCCGCGTAACGTCATGCTCTTATCTTCATGACGTCATCAAATAATGACGTCACAATGTTGAAGCAAAATATAATTTCATGATTATTTTTAGATTTTAGATGTTTTTCAGCACAACGTTCGTAAATATTTACGAACTACAGTTATCACGTACATTTTTTATTATGATTGACTACATTTCCGCTGAAAAAAAATTCATTAATGATAAATATTTTATTTTTACGCCAAATATAGTTCGGCTACTGTGGAATAATATTTGGTAATCATTACTGTGAAATTATCAGAATATAATTAACTGTTATAATTCAGTAATCTACTGCAAAACATGTAATAAATAGAAATTATTAAACAAAAGAAATAATAAGGAAAAATTTTATTTTATCAAGTTTTCAACAACAAAAAATTTACGTCATATTGTGTTTATATCAGTGCCCCATTTATCATTCTTGTATGTATGAAATAACGTCAGCTTGTTTATGAATGAGTTGTTTACTTAACATGACGTCATTACGCTGCTTACGGATTGGTGCAGTTTTGTCAAAATATTTATTAACTGATATTGATCTAATAGTTAGTGTATGAAAAGAAAACATTATAAGAACTGAAAATATAAATAAAAATGCTTTTTAGCTCGACTATACAAAGTATATGGAGAGCTGTCCTACTCCCCATCTTATGTGACAAGGTTAATAACTCTAGCACCAATATTTTCAGATTTATCTCCCCTTGAACTTAGAATTTTCCTTAAAAAATATTATTTTTTACTGTACCTTATTTATTTCTAAAGGGATCAACTTCATATTTCAAATATATGTACGTTATCATCATCCACATCTTATGTGACAAGGTTCATAACTCTAGCACCAATATTGCAAGAATTATCTCCCCATAAACTTAGATTTTTTTATTAGAAAAATATTATTTTTTACTAATAACTTTTTTAGTTTGAAAGGTATCTACCTAAACCTAAAATACTTATTCTTATCATCAATTACATTTTTTGTGACAATGTTCAGAACTCTTGAAGCAATTTTTACAGATTTATCTCTCTTTGAACTTGGATTTTCTTTAAGAAATATTATAAACTTCTTTACTTTTTTAAGGTATCTACTTCAAACTTCAAAATATATATTTCTTATCATTACACACATGTTGTGTGACAAGGTTCAATAACTCTAAGCCGTGACTATTTATAGAATTATTTCCCTTGATCTTGGAATTTATGTTAACAAATGTTATTTTTTTACTATAACTTAATACATACGAGGGGTGTCCCAGGATTACGTGGACTTCTGCCGTAACTAAAAAACTACTGAAAATAAAAACAAACAAAATTAACATGAACAAAATGCGACTTTATTGCATTAGTACAAAAAATTTCAAAGTTGTTCGGCAACTGGATCAGTGTCTGTGGGCAGGGTAATGAGACAAGGGGTAGCGGGTGCGGAGCAGTCGATTCCGATCTTACGACGTCATTCCGGTGGCATCGCTAGTTGTTAATTAATGCGTGGCGTCGGATGTCACTTTTTCTCAACATAGTCGCCGCCTAACTCAATACACTTATGGTGTCGATATATCCACTGGTCGTACACCGCCCTGTACCACTCCTGGTTGAAATCAGCCACCACTTTCTGCGTTGCGAACGAGAGTTCCTGGAAGGAATGGAACTTCCGTCCCTTAAGTGCCGACTTCACAGTTGGAAATACCCGGAAGTCTATCGGCGCCATATCCGGCGAGTAGGGTGCGTGCTCCAGAATCTGAAAATCCAGAAGACTGATCTCAAGCCTGGTGGATGCTGCGTTATGGCTTGGCGCATTATCCTGGGGCAGCAACACCTGATCCAAGGGAAGGTTCGGCAGCTTCCGACGCAAGGAACGCACAAGATCTTGCCGTAACACCTGACAAATAGACAATTTATCTACTAAGTAAGCGATATTGTACATATACTTAATCCACAAATAATAATAATAATAATAATAATATCGCACACGTCCCGCACAGTGTAACGCCTGTCCCAATCTATGACGTCCTTGACTGACGCCGCAGTCAACGTTGACTTTCTCCCACGACCCTTGTCGTCTTCAATGTCCTCCTGGCCGTCTCGAAAACGCTTATGCCATTTGAAAACAAGTGATCGACAAACAGGAGGTCTCACTTTTGCAGTTTCCAACATTTCCTGCGTCTGTGTTGGCGTCTTCCCAAGATTAACACAAAACTTGATGATAGTCCGATGTTCCGCGTAATCCGTGGACGTCATTCTTTGTTAAATATCCAAGAGCAACGGTTGACAGTTGTCCGCTGGTAAACAATAAACAGAAACAGCTATGACGTCAAAATTTTCAAACGAACGTTCATTATGACGTCACTGCATATGCTACGACGTCGCGCCATTTTTTACATATAAATACGCAAGATATACGAAAGTAAACACAACTTATTAATACAAAAATATTGGACTGCCCCGCCTGCGCATACTGCGTTACTATAGCGACGTAAAATATAGAGAAGCAATGTTAGAAATTTAAAGATAATGGACATATTCATTAAGGATATGTTAAAGGTATTGTGTACAAATTTGCTAAAAAAATGCATTAAAAAATAAAAAAAGTTATAGCAAAAGTCCACGTAATTCTGGGACACCCCTCGTAATTATACATAATTGATTTTTCTTTCATAGTTTTGTCCCGTCCTGACTGCGTCCAGTATTTTATTAGTCGAGCTTGGCTGTCTTCTGCGACAGCTCTTGTTATTGTTGCTTTAAAAGGCCTTGTAAAGTATATAATCGAGGGTGAAAACATAACAGCCGCATAACCAAGTAGTCCTTAACCGGTGTTTATTGGTAGTTTAACACCGTTTTTTTCCTTCTTTGTCTATAGTGACAAATCACGTGGAGTGTTAGAATTGTTGTTTTACCCTAAAATGTTGAATGAACTGGTCTAAATTAAAGCTGCATGCCTCCAGATGAACCAAAATATTTCAAGAAAATCAAACTTGAGAAAAATGTACTAAGATTTAAAGAGATGTAAAAAGATTCAAGATTTAAGTAATAATTTACATGTTATATGCGATTTTCAGAATTTATCACCATATTTCTACTGCATTACTAACCCAGTAAGGGCTATTTCTGCCTATTTTGACATCTGTTTTGGTAATCTATATCAGGGGCGTAACTGAGCTACTTTGGTATGTACTCCTTAAGTAGGGGGGTTCGGGGGCATGGTCCCCCGAGAATTGTTTTTGAAAGAGGAAGCGATATCCTGGCATTTTGTGACTATCAAGAGGCTATATTGACAACATATTGGTAATGATTTCAAACTCTTTTTGTTAATTTTAAAATAGGTAAAATGAACAAGGACGTTACATATACCATAGAACTTTTTTATATTTATAATCGATTTTTTTTGCAGGAAAAAATTGTCATTTTGCGACTTTCAAACTGATGTTATAGCAACAAATCTCCTGTATTCAGTAAATTTTAAATAAAAAAAAGCTAGAAACGTCGAAAACTAAAGCAAGCATTTGTTTTAATTGAATTGATTATATGTCATGTTTGGGTACAGAGCCTTGCTTTCTTTGGAAAAGCCGGGTCCGCTGGACGGTATTGTCAAATTCACGTTAGTCCATCACATAAGCCACAGCTAACACTGAGACTCTCGACAAAGATGAGTATATTCACACAATGCCCCAATGCTCCTTGAGGAAAGACTGTCATTCTGCACCTTCATAAGTAGCAATTGTTGTAACAATATATTAATTTAAGAACGATAATGGTGTGAAAATTGTGATTAAGTTCAGTGAGTGTTTTGGACTGTTAAATATATTTCATTACATTACAATACATTTTGTATATATATATATATATATATATATATATATATAAACGCGTTATATTACACGTTATATTACACGCAAAGATATTTCAAAATCTCCTTTCAGAAATGTCAGTAAATTAATTAAAAATTGTTGCATATAACATAGATTATGTGGATCATGTGAATACATTAAAGGACTTATATAAGCCCTTTTGTGATAAAGTAAATTCATAAGCAGATATATGCATGTACGACTTTAATAATGATGTAACTTGCTTGATGACTCATCGCAATGTTTTGCTGACCACAGAGAATGATAAATTAAATAATATGCATTGTAAATGCCTAATTGTAGTGTGTTAATTATTTTCTTTGTTAACTACACAATATTTTACTTTAAAATAAATTATCGAAATTTTCAAGAAAATTAGCATGAATCACGAGGCATGCTGCTTTAAAGGCAAGGCAAATAATATATACATGTGTAACTGGTTACAGGTTAAATAATCTATACATGTGCAGCTGGTTACAGGTAAAATTGCAATACAGTATGTGATACATATGTTGACCAGTCTTGAAACTTGAAACAAAGTTTCTTTTCAGCTTGACGTTTCAAAGAAACATGGACTGGTATCCAACTAACCCTTAATTATTGGCTTTTATGTAGCTTTCAACTAAGAGTTTGGGTGCGATTTTGGTCACTTTGACCTATGAAGGTCTTCATTTGGAACTTTTTAGAATTATAATGCAAGTTATCACTGTCCAAAACCTTCTGTTATATTTCATTTCATACGCAAAATGTTTAATATGTTGCTTGTCTTAGGTATATTAAACTGATGTTGTCTGTTGTTTGGCAGCTGTGTTTCAGTTAATTGATACTGACCGCTTCTTATGAATATCTCCTCTTATGTATTGTTTCTAATTGGTCTGTTGTTTGGCTGTGTTTCAGTTTATTGATACTTACCACTTCTTATGAATGTCACCTCTGATGTATTGCTTCTAATTTGTCTGTTGTTTGGCTATGTTTCAGTTTATTGATACGTACCACTTCTTATGAATGTCACCTCTTATGTATAGTTTCTAATTTGTCTGTTGTTTGGCTGTGTTTCAGTTAATCGATACTGACCACTTCTTATGAATATCACCTCTTATGTATTGTTTCTAATTTGTCTGTTGTTTGGCTGTGTTTCAGTTTATTGATACTGACCACTTCTTATGAATGTCACCTCTTATGTATTGTTTCTAATTTGTCTGTTGTTTGGCTGTGTTTCAGTTAATTGATACTGACCACTTCTTATGAATATCACCTCTTATGTATTGTTTCTAATTTGTCTGTTGTTTGGCTGTGTTTCAGTTAATTAATACTGACCACTTCTTATGAATATCACCACTTATGTATTGTTTCTAATTTGTCTGTTGTTTGGCTGTGTTTCAGTTAATTAATACTGACCGCTTCTTATGAATATCACCTCTTATGCATTGTTTGTAATTTGTCTGTTGTTTGGCTGTATTTCAGTTATTGAGAGAGAGGACAGAAGAGATGAGAGAGATAGACGTGAGAGACCAGACAGACCTGATAGGGAACCTCTTCCTAAAAAAGGTAATTTTAGTCTCCCTAGATAGTCAGAAAAACAATAATGCAACCTTAGCTGAAGCTCTCTGCTAATCCAAACGTATAATATGAATAGTGCAGTTATAGTGATTTAATATTTTGTATGGAATTCAAAGTACTACTTTTCATGCCCCCACAAAGTAGGGAGCATATAGCGTTGCACTTGTCTGTCTGTCTGTCCGAGCGCACGAGAGGGTATATGTTGGGTACTGAATACCCAACAACTACCAATCCTACTCACTCCATATGTATTGTTGGGTATTTTCTTTGATTGTTGGGTACTATTTTTACACAGTAAAATACCCAACAAGAATACAAATGTAAGAACGTCCATCTGTCCGTCGTTATGGCCGTACGTCCCGAAATCTTTTGAACACAACTCCTCTTAAACCGGATGGCAGGTTTTGCTTAAACTTCCAGTGATGAACAACCTTAATGTGTAGATGTAAGTAAAGAAAGGAATTTTCGCTGCGACCAAATTTAACAGAATATTGGCCCTTTGTTGATTTTTTCACTATATATTAATTATGTAGAAATTTTGTGAACGCAACTCCTCTTAAACCGGATAGCAGATTTTGCTTAAACTTCCAGGGATGAACAACCTTAATGTGTAAATGGTAGTAAAGGAAGGAATTTTTGCTGCGACCATTTTTAGCTCACCTGTCACAAAGTGACAGGGTGAGCTTTTGTGATGGCTTTTCGTCCGGCGTCCGTCCGTCGTCCGTCCGTCCGTCGTCCGTCCGTAAACTTTTACTTTAAATGACATCTCCTCATAAACCACTAAGCCAATTTCATCCAAACTTCACAGGAATGTTCCTTTGGTGGTCACCTTTAGAAATTGTTCAAAGAATTTAATTCCATGCAGAACTCTGGTTGCCATGGCAACCGAAAGAAAAAACTTTAAATATCTTCTTCTAAAAAACCATAAAAGCTAGAGCTTAGATATTTGGCATGAAACATCTAGTGAGTGTCTACCAAGTTTGTTCAAATAAAAGCCCTGGGGTCAAAATTGGCCCCGCCCCGGGGGGTCATTGATTTTCCCTATATGCATATAGTAAAAACTTAAAAAATCTTCTTTTAAAGAACCCAAAGAGCTAGAGCTAAGATATTTAGCATGAAACATGTTCTAATGGGTGTCTACCAAGTTTGTTCAAATAAAAGCCCTGGGGTCAAAATTGGCCCCGCACCGGGGGGTCATTGATTTTCCCTATATGCATATAGTAAAAACTTAAAAAATCTTCTTTTAAAGAACTCAAAGAGCTATGGCTAAGATATTGAGCATCAAACATGTTCTAAGAGGTGTCTACCAAGTTTGTTCAAATAAAAGCCCTGGGGTCAAAATTGGCCCCGCCCCAGGGGGTCATTGATTTTCCCTATATGCATATAGTAAAAACTTAAAAAATCTTCTTTTAAAGAACCAAAAGAGCTAGAGCTAAGATATTTAGCATGAAACATGTTCTAATGGGTGTCTACCAAGTTTGTTCAAATAAAAGCCCTGGGGTCAAAATTGGCCCCGCCCCGGGGGGTCATTGATTTTCCCTATATGCATATAGTAAAAACTTAAAAAATCTTCTTTTAAAGAACTCAAAGAGCTATGGCTAAGATATTTAGCATCAAACATGTTCTAATAGGTGTCTACCAAGTTTGTTCAAATAAAAGCCCTTGGGTCAAAATTGGCCCCGCCCGGGGGTCATTGATTTTCCTTATATGTGTATAGCAAAAACTTAAAAAATCTTCTTTGAAAAAATCCAAATAGCTAGAGTTAAGATATTAAGCATGAAACATCTTTTAGTGAGTGTCTACAAAGTTTGTTCAAATAAAAGACCTGGGGTCAAAATTGGCCCGGCCCCGGGGGTCATTGATTTTCTTTATATGTGTATAGCAAAAACTTAAAATCTTCTTTGAAAAAACCCAAATAGCTAGAGTTTAGATATTAAGCATGAAACATCTTCTAGTAAGTGTCTACAAAGTTTGTTCAAATAAAAGCCCTGGGGTCAAAACTGGCCCGGCCCCAGGGGTGTCATTGTTTTTAACTATATGTGTATAGTAAAAACTTTAAAAAAATCTTCTTTTAAAAAGCCCAATGAGCTAGAGCTTAGATGTTTAGCATGAAACATCTTCTTATGGGTGTCTACCAAGTTTGTGCAAATAAAAGCCCTTGGGTTAAATTGGCCCTGCAACGTTGGGGTGGGGGTTGGGGGCTAAATACAGGTGAGCGACCTCAGGGCCATCATGGCCCTCTTGTTAAAAGAATAAATTGGCCCTTTGTTGATTTTTTCACAATATACCATATAGAAATTTTGTGAACGCAACTTCTCTTAAACCGGATGGCAGATTTTGCTTAAACTTCCAGGGATGAACAACCTGAATATGTAGATGGAAGTAAAGGAAGGAATTTTTGCTGCGACCAAATTTAACAGAAATATGGCCCTTTGTTGATTTTTTCACTATATACCATATATGTTGTCAGTGGGGGCATCCGTGTCCTTTGGACACAGATCTAGTTGCTACTTGTATGACAAAGAATTTCATATTCATGGCTGTATTATTTAGGTGATAAGCATCTAAAATGATTTTAACTATAAAACTCATATTTGCCCTTTCTCTAAAGAAGAAAAAAAAGTTGGTTTCTGAGGCATATCGTAACTTTAAAGGTTTATGATCACAAAAATACAAATGTAGTTAAGATTAGGAATAGTAAAATTCTGTAGATGTATCTTATAGTGAAATTTGGTTTTGTTTAGGTAACACTGTGTATGTTCATGGTCATGGTGTGAATGAGGAATTACTGAGGAAGGCGTTCCATAACTTTGGTAATATTGTCAACATATCCATGGAGAAAGTAAGTTAGGATTGTATGTTTTTCCTACAAATATCCAGATTAGCTGTAAATTGTAAAAGATTTACCTACAATTTCTCAAAGTGTATATATTGTTATCTTATGAAAGCAGGCTTTAATAAAAAGAGTGGTTGATTCATAATTACAATAACCACACAGGTACACATGGTTACACCAACCACATAGGTACACATGTTTACACCAACCACATAGGTACACATGGTTACACTAACCACACAGGTACACATGGTTACACCAACCACACAGGTACACATGGTTACACTAACCACACAGGTTCACACAGTTACACCAACCACTCAGGTACACATGGTTATACCATCAACTCAGGTACACACAATTACACCAACACCACAGGTACACATGGTTACACCAACCACACAGGTACAGATGGTTACACTAACCACACAGGTACACATATTTACACCAATCACATATGTGCACATGGTTGCACTAACCACACAGATACACATGGTTACACAAACCACACAGGTACACATGGTTACACCAACCACACAGGTACACATGGTTACACCAACCACACAAGTACACAGTCATAGTTACACCATTAACTCAGGTACACACAATTACACCAACCACATAGGTACACATGGTTACACCAACCACACAAGTTCCAATATTTACACCAACCACATAGGTACGCATAATTACACTTACCATATATGTACACATTGTAACACCAACCACTCAGGTACACATGGTTACATCAACCACTCAGGTACACGTGGTTACACCAAACCACTCAAATGCATATGGTTACACCAAACACTCAGGTACACATAATAACACAAACCACTCAGGTTAAGTCACATACACATAATTACACAAACTACACGGGTACCCATTCAACTGAGTGACTTGTGGCAGTGCTGAATGAATTATTTACTCAAATTAACCTTGCCCAGACCAAGACCTCTCAAATGAAGATGGTGTTGTACATACCACAAGGACCACTGTTCCATTTTCTCTTTGTCTATCTAACCATCCTACATGTTAAAAATGAAGATTAATGTTTCATTATTGAATGTTAATAAAAAAATCAATGAGTGCAAATACAGGCAATTTATGAATCATTGTAGATGTATTTGAAAGGAAATATTTTGTGCCTGAAATAGTTATATAATTGTGTTCTAATACAATGTATTTGTATATCTTTAGTTGTGGTTTTGTGACCTTTGACAAAATGGACTGTGCAGATATGGCCATACAAGAGGTGGGTGTGTAATGTTTATGTACTAGTAGGAGTGTTTTAATGTAGGGATGGGGGTTATTATATGGGTAGAGGTGTTTTATTGTAGGGATGGGGAGTTTTATTGTAGGGATGGGGAGTTTTATTGAAGGGATGGGGAGTTATATTGTAGGGTGGGGGTGTTTTATTGTAGGGATGGGGAGTTTTATTGTAGGGATGGGGAGTTTTATTGTAGGGTGGGGAGTTTTATTGTAGGGTGTGGGTGTTTTATTGTAGGGATGGGGAGTTTTATTGTATGGGTAGAGGTGTTTTAAATTACACTGAAATTGTAAAGATCATCTAACAAAACTATAGCTTTACTGGCAGAGAAAGACTTCAGGTGCCACTTCAGGCAGTATTTCACATTGATTTAATGCAAAAGAATGTTTTCACACAAAAGATTATTTGACACAAAGAATTTATTTAGCACTTGTTGATGTTCTCTAAAGAATTATTTAAAGCAGTAGGCCTCCAGAAGATAACAGAAAAACTACTGTCTACAAATATTTCAAAATCCCTCTTCAAAAACATTATATATTTGAAAGATGTCAAAATGACACTTCAAATTGTTCATATTTCAATATAATTGTTCTGAAAACAAACAGTTCTCTTTTCTACCAACGGGATATGCCTTCTTTTATTATACAATATACCTTATTGCAGGGGTAAGAGTTTAATTTAACACTGAACATTAGTTATAGTTGATTTCGCACAAAAGATGGTTCATTTAAGACAAAAGAAGCTTGATTTTATTCATCAGAAGGTTGATTTTACTGTGTTCTGAGTCGAAGAGAGGTAAAATGTGATGTGGATTATAGCTATGGGAGGAAATGAAACTGTTATTGTGAGAGGTAGTTGCTGTATAGATGGTTGCTCTTCAGAGGTTTTACTATAGAGCTATTTTTATACATGCAGGTAGATGGCGCTATGATTGATAGTGTTCAGTTACGTGTCTCCATGGCAAGAAGACAGCCATCATTTGACAGTACCAGCCAAGATCCATCCAGCACTTCATGGGCATCTCTAGGTAAATATAATTTTCCCTTCTGAAAATATAATGGACTTGTGCTGCTCATTGTTTGTAAAGGGATGTCAATATCTTTATTTTAAAGTCAAATAGGCAATAGTATATAAAGCCGTATTATTAGCTCACCTGAGCATATGCTCAGGGTGAGCTATTAGGATCACTCTTCGTCCGTCGTCTGTCGTCCGTCGTACGTCGTCCGTTCACACTTTTCAAAGGACATCTCCTCTGAAACCATAAGGCAGATCATAATGAAACTTCACAGGGATGTTCCTTGTGTGAAGCCTTAACAAAGTTGTTCAAAGAATTCCATTCCATGCAGAACTCTGGTTGCCATGGCAACCAAAAGAAAAAACTTTAAACATCTTCTTCTAGATAACCCAAAGAGCTAGAGCTGAGATATTTGGTGTAAAACATGTTCTAATGGATGTCTACCAAGTTTGTTCAAATAAAAGCCCTGGGGTCAAAATTGGCCCCGCCCCAGGGGGGTCATTGATTTTCCCTATATGCATATAGTAAAAACTTAAAAAAAATTCTTTTAAAGAACCCAAAGAGCTAGAGCTAAGATATTTAGCATAAAACATGTTCTAATGGGTGTCTACAAAATTTGTTCAAATAAAAGCCCTGGGGTCAAAATTGGCCCCGCCCCAGGGGGTCATTGATTTTCCTTATATGCATATAGTAAAAACTTAAAAAAATCTTCTTCTAAAAAACCCAAAGAGCTAGAGCTTAGATATTTGGCATAAAACATGTTCTAATGGATGTCTACCAAGTTTGTTCAAATAAAAGCCCTGGGGTCAAAATTGGCCCCGCCCCAGGGGGGTCATTGATTTTCCCTATATGCATATAGTAAAAACTTAAAAAAAATTCTTTTAAAGAACCCAAAGAGCTAGAGCTAAGATATTTATCATAAAACATGTTCTAATGGGTGTCTACAAAATTTGTTCAAATAAAAGCCCTGGGGTCAAAATTGGCCCCGTCCCAGGGGTCATTGATTTTCCCTATATACATAGAGTAAAAAGTTAAAAATCTTCTATTAAAGAACCCAAAGAGCTAGAGCTGAGATATTTGGTGTAAAACATGTTCTAATGGATGTCTACCAAGTTTGTTCAAATAAAAGCCCTGGGGGTCATTGATTTTCCCTATATGCATATAGTAAAAACTTTAAAAAATCTTCTTCTAAAAGACCCAAAGAGCTAGAGCTTAGATATTTGGTGTAAAACATGTTCTAATGGATGTCTACCAAGGTTGTTCAAATAAAAGCCCTGGGGTCAAAATTAGCCCCTTACCAGGGTTCATTGATTTTCCCTATATGCATATAGTAAAAACTTAAAAAAATCTTCTTCTACAAAACCCAAAGAGCTAGAGCTTAGATATTTGGCATTAAACATGTTCTAATGGATGTCTACCAAGTTTGTTCAAATAAAAGCCCTGGGGTCATAATTGGTCCCGCCCCAGGTGGTCATTGATTTTCCCTATATGCATATAGTAAAAACTTAAAAAAAACTTCTATTAAAGAACCCAAAGAGCTAGACCTAAGATATTAAGCATGAAACATCTTCTAATAAGTGTCTACCAAGATTGTTCAAATAAAAGCCCTGGGGTCAAAATTGGCCCCGCCCCAGGGGGTCATTGATTTTCCCTATATGCATATAGTAAAAACTTTAAAAATCTTCTTCTAAAAAACCCAAAGAGCTAGAGCTTAGATATTTGGTGTAAAACATGTTCTAATGGATGTCTACCAAGTTTGTTCAAATAAAAGCCCTGGGGTCAAAATTAGCCCCTTACCAGGGTTCATTGATTTTCCCTATATGCATATAGTAAAAACTTAAAAAAATCTTCTCTTAAAGAACCCAAAGAGCTAGAGCTAAGATATTAAGCATGAAACATCTTCTTTAGCATGAAACATGTTCTAATGGATGTCTACCAAGTTTGTTCAAATAAAAGCCCTTGGGTTAAAATTGGCCCTGCCAGGGGGGGGGGGGGGGGCAAAAGTCATTGTTATTCATAATATGTGTATAGTAAAATCTTAACATCATGAAATATCTTCTAATGGGTGTCTTCCAAGTTTGTTCAAATAAAAGGCCTTAGGTTTAAACTGGCCCCGCCCTGAGGGCCTATGTTTAGGTGAGCGACCCCAGGGCCATCATGGCCCTCTTGTTTTGTAGAAATATCATTTGTCAACCTTTGAAAACTCTTTAATAGGCCTGCCCTTTTTCCAGTTTTAGCTGTCCGTTTATTTGTATAACAGATGTCAGTGTCAATGTCTCAGTTCCGATTTTCACATTTTCAGCTAGTTTATTACAATAAGATAAATGAAAAAAGGAACATTACTGTATACTAGTATTATTTTATATTGTGTTGAACTATTTTTCCTCTGTCATATTTTCAGCCAATTTTAGAATATTTTATAAATTGAAATAAGGACAATATTCTTGTATTACAGATGTATTGAACTATCTTTATTTTTTCTTATTTACAGCCAGTAACAATTCACAGAAAGGGTCTCACAAAGATAAAAGAGATGTAGTGGAGTACGAGGAGGACATGTTTTGATAAAACACTTGTTTGTTATGGGAGATTAATAAACATTTACAGAAAGAGAAATTAATTTGTTTTTAACATGTTTAAGATCAGAATGAAAAACGCCGAACGTTTATCATACTTTGGACTGATATTCACCTAATGACATGGAATTGTTTGGTAAATGTCGTTTTTGATTTCAAAACGCTTGTAACTCAGTGTTCAAATTCCACTAGAGATTTTGGATTTTTCATGTGAGGAAGCTATCCAGCTAGCTTTTTTAACGTTGGGTGCCAGCATGGAGGAGAAGTTATGGTCCTTCTTCACCAAATAGCTGGAACATCATGATATGACCTTTACAGTGTAGATTGGACTTTAAACCATATAGGAAAAAAGCAAAAAAGAAAAATATACATAAATACATGTGCATGTATATATGTTAATTGTGTCACTTGTAAGGTTAAGTTTTTGAGAGGTGATAAAAACAGTTTTTGCAATGTAAATTGTCTTAAATGCACTAAGAAATATTTAGACATTTTAAGATTTATTATTTGAGATATAAGAAATCAAAGATAATGGGATATTTGTAAAGCTATCATTTTGTCTTTGTTTTGTACTACATGATTCAAGTATTTATATATTGTCAGTTATGTATTTTAAATGATTTTACAGACATTGTGTTACATTATTAAATGGTTAAAGAATTTGAAAGTGTTTCCTTTTATTGTTAAACTTGTTAGCTTGGAAAACTAAGTGCATCATGTTCTTGGAAGATGATAACATGCGAGTCCTAGTAAATCGTTTCAAGTTATAACAAAAGATATAATCTATGGAATAATTTGGCTGATTAGCACAATCTGGAGAGCATCTGATTTTTAACCAATGGGTTGCGGCATTGATCCTTAGGAGGGGCTAAATTTCTTCCTAACAGCTGATATCAGATATTTAACCTTACGGTCATTTGTCTCTTGCCTCTGATTACTGTTTAATTATCCAGGAAAATCGGTAATATTGACCAAGTCCAGAGATATGGATGAAACATGTGTTCAAAAATGGCGTAAAAACCAAACATGTAAGCCTATGAAATGTCAGATATATTTGAGAATTAAGCAAAGTTGAGGTTCATTCGCACTGAGAGCAAATTTTCAGCCCTGTTAAATTACGTTGTAGGATTTATGAATTTATGACAAAAGCTCACTAGGACAATAGTATACTGGAAGAAAAGCCCATTTAGAACCCCTGTTTTGCTAACCTGAGCTAAAAGATGAGCTTTTTGCGTATGTTGTGCATTATTAATGGCGTCAAATATTTTCTTAAAACACAACTCTCAATACCGATTGGCCACTATTGCATTGTATTGTCAAAACTTAGCAAGAAATTTCCTGGCATGGAGCTCTCTTTAAAAATTGTTCAAATAATTTTATTTCACGCAGAACTATGGTTGACATAGCAATTGAAAGAAAAAACTTTGTAGATCTTTCTCTCTAAATCAGAAGATCTACAGCTTAAAAACTGACCATTGACTACTAAAGCAACCATTGATTTAATTTAGCAACCTATGATTTCTACATGCAACTATTGAGTTTCCATAGCAATAAGTTAATTGCTTAGCAAATATTGACTTTTATAGCAATCTTTTATTTTTCTTAGCAACCAGTTGTTCCATAGCAATCATAGACTTTCAATAGCAACTGTTTTCTTCCTTAGTACCATTTTATTTATTTAGCAACTTATGACATCTGTGCAACAATTGACCTTCCAAAGCATCCAATGACTTGTATTTCAATTATTGACTTTCCATAGCAACCAACGGGATTGCAGCCATTTACTTTCCTTAGAAACCAAATACGGCAATGTGAAAGATTGACATTTCTTATCAACCAGTAACTTCCATAGCAACCAGTGACTATCTATAGCAAACATGAACTTTCCATAGCAACATGTGTATCCCATAGCAACTTTTGACTTTCATAGCAATATTTAATTTTTCTTAGCAAGCAGTGACTTCCATAGCGATTATTGCCTTCCCGTAGCAACCAATAACAATTAATAGCAATGGTTTAAAATGTAAAAAATGTTTTATACATAGCAATCATGTTTTGCAAACATTAAATTGAAGAGATCAAACTTAAATTCAAAAATTCCTGGCTAGATACTATTATTAATTTGAAATATAAGACAATTATGTTGTCCATAAGAATCTGGCTTAACGATATAGATTTTACAATGATTGAAAGTGAAGTGGTCCTTAATGGAAGGTCTTTAATATCAAACATAGTTATATATGACTGATAGTATCATAAATGACCACAAACCATGAAAGAATTATAAAGAGAAATATATGGATGTTTTTGGTAAGTTTTAAATGCATGTTCCGTTATTAACATTATTACACGTGTTTAAAGCAGCGTGCCTGCAAATTCGTAGACACTTTTAATTTTGAAGATGTATTTGAAAGTAAAATGTTGTGAAGTAACTAAAGGAAGTAATTTACGCATTGCAAACGGCAATTACAATCCGCGTAAATTACCAAAAGGATGTCAAGATATGCAAAAAAATAGCCCTAATTGCATAAGTCACAAAGTAGAAATATTGATATTGCAAAATTAATGACAAATCGCACCTAACATCCTAATTAAAAGTTGAACTTTTTTTCTTCTTTTTAATTTTCTTAAAATCTTAGAACATTTTCCTCATATAAGATTTGCTTGAAATATTTTTTTTCTCATCTAGAGGCATGACGCTTTAAAAAGCAGATAATATTTTTTTCTAAAGCAAAACATATTTTATTTTCATATAAACGACCATACTAAATCATATAAAGAACTCTAAATGTAACAGAATATTCAAATGATTCATTTCATTTTTTTATATCAATATTTGAAATACTAAAATCAAATCCACTTTAATCATGTTTACATTTCACTCATATATTAATACTAATTTGAAGAGACATTTTAAGAGTCTGACTGTAAGTAATTTATTCCCTTGTACATAAGATAGTTGTATGCAATAATAATAAATTATATGGAAAGCTAATTAAATTTTGAAATAAGATACTGGTTCACCATGAAATCTGATTAAATTATGAAACAATGGCATTTGAAAAAAGGAAAAAATATAAAATTTACAGTCCTCACGTCCCCGTGTATACAAATGCCATAGTTAGTTTTTCCAATACGTTAAATGACAGTGGCTTTCTATTACTTAGGTAAAACACATATCTGTCAATATCTGTATGCTGTTGTAGTCTGCGTACACCTTGTATTAAAAAGATCTCGAGGCAGACGACAATCTCAAGTTTTTGTTATATGTACCATAATGTAAGAGAAATTTTAAGACATTTATGATTTTGAAAATTTCAAAATCATGACACGGTGTTTATATTTAGTAACAGGTGCACTTCTGCTGGCTCGTACATCCGGTGTCAACATCACAATTGGCGTCCTTGTTGAGCGTTCGGATATTTTGGATTTCCCTTTTTCTATCAACAGGACAAAGGGTCTCATAGACATTGCTATAAATAAAACGCGATATATGTTAAAGGATCTCGCAAATCTAAAATATGTGATTACACCGTGTGATGTTCCAACATGTGTGGCGACCAAATGGGGAGCTCTGTTTTCGGAATTGTACCACAAATATCACCCACATGCGGTTATTGGTCCAGGTAAGATTTTAGATTATTAATTTTGATTTTAAGCTTTTCAAATTACGGTAACTTTGTTCTTTAGCTTGCTTTTATTTAAATGCTATATATCTGATATTTTAAAGACATATTATGCTCATCCTTGCATAGCTTAAGATCTTCGGTGTTTCCGTTTAAATATTCTATGACATGACGTGAATCCCGCATCAGATGAAAAAAAAAATGTTAAAAAGCTGCTGTTAAAAAGTTTTGGAAGCCAGAGCTAATCCTTGCATAAAATGACAGATTTATTGAAATCTATGAAATTCTTAGTGAATATGTGTTATTTGAATACAAAATGAATAAACTATGTATGGGAAGCTGCGTGCCCTGTTTCAGCTCAAGTAAATTGATCTTTTCTAAAATTTTAATGATACTATACATTTATATTGTGCCCACCTGTATGATTGTATAATGTTAAGCATAGCATTGTGTGAAGTGAAAACATGTTTATCTTGTATTTTAAAGAGTCTGTGAAGCAGTATCAGTATTTTCTTGAACATAGTATAATTTAAATGTTAATCACTAATTAAATCTAGAATAATGTCTTCAAATCAGCGTTTTTTTTAATACTGTGACAGAAATGCCGCAAATGTTGACATAAGAAATGTTTATAAGCGGCATAGATATAAAGTTTTGAAGCAGGAACATATTGAATCGGACGCCTCAACTTTTAAGGCAATCTCAAAACATATATAGTAACAAAAATGAAATATCCTTTGACAATTTTGTATTATTCTTTGAAATGAACCTAAGTGATATATATAGTCAGGAATGTGAAACATGTTGTTGGGTCCTGTATGGAAAAATAACTCTAAATGCAAAGACTTTTCACGAGAAACACTTGTCATGGGAAGAAATCATTGCATTACCGAAAAAAATTATGCTCTTCAGTTAAAAGTTAAATTTTACGCCCTCACATCAAATTCTTCAGCTGAAGTCTAAGATATAATTATAGAATTTTGAAAAAACTTGTATTCCACACGCACCATTCAAACGGAATAAGATTTTAACTATATTACAAATATGCGAAAATCGAAATATCTGTATATTTACGCATTATATTGTATAATACAATATCTGATTTAATCTATGCATTAGTTACAATGCAAAGTTTTTGTTAGAAGAGTGGTTTCTTCCATATTTAGTAAGATTGAATCTTTTATGTAAGTTAAATCAGACAAGACATTTTCATCTTTTGGTAACAGAACAATGTATTTGTATTCCTAAATCTTACCCAAAAAAAGAGATGGATTAATTGCAAAACTGCATTCTTAACCTTTGCACATACGTCAGCTGTGAAATTGTAATATTGAACATAACGACTTTAATCATAAACGTTGACTGGTTTTACCCATGGGACCAATACAGGCCAAGATAAGCTGTCAAATCCGTCTGAACAAGGTCTGTACTGTTTTCAATTTGTCAGTACATATATTAAAACATTCCTTAATAGTGGTGAATTATTTTGTCCAGATTAATATATGGACAAATCCATTTTAAGATGTTTACCGTGGAAAGGATAAATAGGTAAAAATATATATCTTATGATATTTATATAAAACTGATCAACAGTAAAATAATGTTGTTTCCAAAATTTTATAGACAATTTTCTAAATACATTTTGTAGTTGTAACATAGATTTAGAGTATTAAAACTTTTAACACAAAAGTTCACACCATAAAATAATTAATGTCAAACACTTTCACTGTTGTGAAATAAGAATTTCACACAATACTTTACTGGAATAAAGCAATACATGCATATGACAATGACGTGATAATGGCCAACAACACATCTTGTTTTTTTTTCTAAAATAATTTATATGGTCTCCAAAAGAAACGTCAGAAAATGTGCTAGGTCATTCACAGATATCGCACTACAATAACGTTGTACAATGTTTGTGTTATGAATTTGTAGAAAGTTGGCTAATTAGTATTTTCATAATGACGTGAGTTCACAGGACATTCACAATTTTACACTACTTTTGATATGTGACCTATATGTGACCGATGTATAAATT